CACAAATCCCTGAAGAAATGAATGATACGCAAGCACACGATGATACTGAAACCCAGAACATTGCAAGTGATATTCAAGAGGACAGTGAGAAGACAGACTCTGATGAACCACAACTGGAAACCCCACCACCTGGGACTGAAAGCAATCTGTTTGATAGGTATGCTCTAACCTATTATATCTACGCTGCTTCCATGCATTTTCAATTGAAATGTAATCTTTAATAACTGAAACTGTATTATTCATGAAGTGACACCGTATTGTATGCAAACAGACACTGATTAGCATGCCTGACATATATATATATATATATATATATATATATATATATATATATATATATATATATATATATATATTTGTTGTATTTTAATAACTGAAACTGAATGTATAATTAATGATACTGTAGATGTAGATAACTGAAACTGAATTGTTTATCAAATGATACTGCATTATGTGCACTGTATCTCTATGTGCTGATACATGCATGATCCTCCATAAAACTGTAGTTTGATTGCTGAGCCTGACATTGATGACAACAATGAGGATGTTATAATTGATAAGACAAGGAGAATCAGAAACCTGCCATTGCGCCTAAGGTCCCCATACTGGACAACAAATGTTGAAAAGCTGAAGAATGTCGGTCCAAAGGAAAAGTTGATTTCAGACTATGTTTTCCTTGACCCAACAGAAGAACAACCATTAAGGTATAAAGCACACTTAACACACACTCTATTATACAATTTTTAATGCTAACTACTTTATTTATATACATTTTCAAATATGACAGTGAACAATTGTTTGCCCATGAGGGATACTACATCAATAGAGAGCAATTCCAGACCTTAAGAAGTGCTGAGATTGAGAGTATATTCTTAGATGTTTGGTGTCTAAGGCTGAATATGTTGGATCCAAGCCGTGGAATATGTTGGATCCAAGCCGTGTAAGCAAACACCATTACTATTTTCACATTATGCATGTTTACTTATGAATAACATACTTTAATGTAAAATGTATACTCTACAGCTCCAACTTGACAGTCCAGCAGATTGGGCACCAAACCACCAATCACATAGACAAGATGACTTTGAGCAGTGTCTAACCACCGAAATACAGAACATGGGGAATGTTGATATTAGTGATGCAAAATTGGTAATCATTTCTTTTTCAAATATTATATTTACAGTTAAACATACTACTACTGTTTTCTAATTTTTTTTCTTTAAAAAACATTAAAAAATCAAAACAGGTGTTCTTTCCCATTTACCGGCATCATCACTTCTTTGTCTTCTACTTAAATTTCATTACATCAAAGCTTGAAATCATTGACAACCAGCCACTCCTCAAAGGGCTGAAAATTCAAAGCAAGTATGGTGACTGTCCACAATTGCTTGTAAGTCATCTAATTACTTACTTCAGAATTCAAAACCAATTCACCTATAATGCATATCTAATTATTTCTGACATGCAGCAAAATACATTTGCATTATACCTTGGAAAGAATGGAATGAAAGATATGCAGGCAAATGTGAAAAAACTGACTGTTGACCTGGTTAAGATGGGTTGGAGATCATCAGCTAACAAGATTGACTGTGGTTTGTACGCAATGAGACATATGGAAACCTACATGGGGGATCAGAACTGGAAATGTGGATTTGTTCCAAAGAAACAGGATCAAAATGTATGTACATATAATACTTTACATATTTCTACTACTCAAATTCTCTGACACAAAACAGAGTTAACTAATGTGTACCAACAAAATGCAGGATCTACTTGATGTCTCTACGAGCAACATATGCAGCCAGAATTATCATGATGCCAACCAATCAGTACAAGGAAGAAGTCCTGAAGAACGCCAAGACAGTATTTGAAGGCAACAAATAGATGACTATGATAAACGGAACAACTAAAAAAATGTGAATGTTTGTTTTGATGTGACAAGAACATAAGTCACCTAAATGGTGTCAATATTTTTAGGTACCAAATGACAGATTCCATTGATATTTTGGGTAGATGTTCATCCTATTTACAAGTTTGTTGACTGAAAGACAATGTTGTTTGGTTGTAAAATTTGGTCACTGAACACAATGATGGTTCTTAACATGAAGTTTTTTGGGTAATCAATAATGATGCAATTCCATATGAATGTTTTTTAGTTTCAGTATATTACACGTACACTTTCAGTTCGTACCCAATACAGTATCATTTCATCACACTTATAGTTTCATTTACTAAGATATGAAAATATTAAAGACATTATATTCAGTTTCATTTTGCATAAACTAAAGTATCATTTATTAGACACTACAGTATCAGTTCATTATCTTTATAGTTACATTATAATATGGATGAAAATGTGAGAGACATACTGTTTATTTTCATTTTTCATACACTGTAGTATCATTCAATATACACTACATTATCATTTAAAAATAACTAGGACTTCATTTAAAAACATAAAAAAATAATATGTCAAACGTGCAGCAGAATTTCATACTGCAAAAAGTGTAATACCCGGTATTTTCCTATGGTTATGCTTCGGGGATGAAGCATCTTTTAAGGAGGGTAGATTGTAATACCCAGTTATTTTATACGTATTATTTTGACATAGATATTATTTTAACCAAAACTATATTATTTTATGAGATCCAAAACTATTTGAAACTAGTCTACTATTATGTATTATTTTGTGACTATTACTATTTCTTAAGATCATATTACTAATATGGTATAACGCTTAATTTAAATCCTAAAACTAGAGTTATTAAGTCGTAATGCAAGTTTATATATTAGATAAACTTAAAGTTTTAGTGTATATGTATATGTTAGCTCCGTATAGCTGAAGTCTCAATATATATGCATGTTACATATTTTAGGTCGTATATAACTTAATATCTATATTATTACTAAACCTTATTATATTAAGCTTTTAAGTATTTTAGTTCCCTACAACTAGAATTATTATTTATAATATAAGCTATTAGTTAAGTATTTAGGTAGGAGTCTAATTGTTCCCATCCTCATCAGTAGCTGATTCATTAAATCCTCCCCTTCATCATAATCATTAGTCGTTACTCTCATCGTTTTCCTTTTTCCCAATATCACCGAACACAAAATTAAAGAGAAAAATATACATAGCTGTCTTTTTTTTGTCATCGCTGGCTTTGTCACCGGTCTTCTTCTGTTATCATCTGACTCTGTTCGTCGTAGGATTTCATTCAAGGATTTTGTTGATTCTGGTTCGAGGTAAGATTTATGTTCACTAAAATCCTTTTACCCCAAATCAAAAATTGATTTTTCTAATTGTTTATGTGATTCGTGATTTTGAAAAATTGATGATATTTAGTGTTGTAAGTTATTTGATTATGTTATGTGAGTAGATATATGAGTTTAGATGTTTTGAAATCCCTACACATGTGATATGGTGATTTTGTGGTGGTTAAAAAGGAAAAATTTTACACAACTTGATCATTGCCTGAGAAAATTCTGACTGGCGCAGCTGGAAAGAAAAATTCGTGAAAATTGCTTCCTAAACTTCTTTTTTCTTGAAATTTTTTATGGATAACCTAGACTTGTTATATTTGATGTTTGTAAAAGTTTTGGTTAAAAATATGTTTAGATTCTTCCAGAATAATTTCGTAAAGTTTAGGCAGTGTTCTGCATATTAAATTACAGTCTGGCGCTGTGTTGAGAAGAATTTCGGGAAAAATACTTGTAGGCCTTGGATTGGCTTGAAACTTTTTGTGTGTAGACTAGACTCTTTTTACTACTTATCTAGAAAATTTCATATGAAAATACGTTACCAATTTTTCTCAGTAAATTCTGCAATTCAGGTCATAGTTTCTGAAAGTTTTTGTCAGTTTCTTATTTGACATATTGAGAAGTTGCTTGCTTGTGAAATATAATTATTGTTATCATTCTTATAAATATGGAGAGTACAAATTATTTGGTATAAAACTTACATTTAATTAACTTTGGTCATGGAGGATTTGTACTTGAATTTTTATTGTGAGGTTGGTCTCTCACATTTGATTATGGAACCAGTGTGGGGTTGGTCTCTCACATTTGGTTATGGATCTTGTGGGTTTGGTCTCTCACATTTGATTTTGGATTATTATTATATACCTTGTGGGGTTGGTCTCTCACAATCGAGTTCGTTCTACCCATTGGGGTTGGTCTCTCAATGGGGGTATGCATACTTAAGGGATTGATCTCGTGCCAACTGGGTTGGTCTCTGGTTGGTTGGTTGGTTTTGGTCACTGGGGCCGAAGTAATGATCCTTGCCTTGTATTTCTCCTCCTCATTGACTTGGTGGATAATAAAGGATTAAATCCTAATGTTGAGAAAAGTGGTAAAATGTGGGTTTTGTGAAATTTTATGTGAAATTATAAATTATATTTATTATGTGGTTGATTTGTTAATTGGTAATTAAATGTGAAGAAGTGGTATTAGGGAATGTTGCAAGTATGACATGATTAAGGGGTTAATGTGGAATTATGTGCTCCAAGGTGTTATGTGTTATGTGAAAAATGTTTTATAGGGTGGAGTAAGTCTTACCGGCTGTTGTATGCTGAATTTGTTCCCCCTTTAGTTATTTTGCAGGTAATATGGCACGAGTATCTGAAGCATGAGAGCGAATCATCTGTTAGCGCTTTGAATATTTATTTTTATTAGCTAATTTAGAAGTTGTTTCTAGACAATTGTAATATTACACTCAATGAACTAGTATTAGTTTTGGGTTGGTTTAGTAGTGTTGTTTTAGCCTGTGCGTTTGGATATAGATAGGTTGTGTTATCTAAACGTGGCGGTAGCATCCCTTTTGTTTTGTTTAGCTTCCGCAATTAAACAATGAAATTTTAATCAAATAAATGCCTTTTAATAAATTAATTTGATTTTGGAAAATGGGGGTGTTACAAAAAGCTATGCTACCATAACAACACACATACTATCTAATATCCAATCCAATCAAATCCAATATTACAATGATTGTAATTGACCTATCAACTAGGTTTAACCAAACCTAACTCATGACTGCCGCTAGAAGGATGAACAAAATAACCACTGCCAACAATATTAGCAACAACTCCTTCAACAGATGCCTGCACTGCAGCCTTTGTATTCATTTCAGCAACCTTGACACCCAACTTCCGCCCTCTCACTTGGTTATACTTTTTTCCGATTGTGCTAATATGTCTCCTATTGCGTTCACCTTTCGCCCTATTACGTGCTAGATTTTGAATTACACCAGATGTCCGTTGTTCACCATCTTCAATGACAATAAGACCAATATCACCTTCAACCTTCCTTCTAGCATCCTTAAAAGCATTTTCACACACTTCCCGAGCCCTGCAATTTGCTTGGCTGGATAACAATCACTGCTTATTATTCTATCTTCAATACCCTTTTTCGTCCATCTTTTGATAATGTACTTATCCGGTATTGCTGCAACACAGTGGACATTAAAAATGCGTAAAGAATGGGAGCATAAAATACCCATCTCTGAAAACAACATGCAGCTACAAGATATATCCAAATCATTCACTTTGAAACACACTTCATGACGAATGAGATCAACATCAGGACGCCACACATGATACTTTATCTCATTACCACTTCCCCCCACAGATTCTTGATGGCATGAAGTCCCTTTCACAAACTGTTCCTCTAAAAGATAATATATCTCAATAGTGTATATGTCTCTAGCATGTGAAAGGAGCTTCACATGATTCATCGCCATAGGTGCCAACCCTTGTGAACAACGCACGTTTTCACCGTTTTCCCTACTTCTCCACTCAGAAACTACACTAACAAATGAATTATAAAAATCACACAACACAGCTGTTTTTGATAATCTTCTAGATATTGAATGATTCGTAGACTCGCTCCTTTGAGATGATAAAATACCACCAGAGAAATATTCTTTACTAAATGCAGGACACCATTTCTCCCTAATAGAATATAGCTTATTTAACCACACATTTTTATGGCACCCATATTCTGTCATCATCCTGAAAAAAATATAAAGAAAAAAAAAACATGAATTTAAACCTATACTGTATATTTCTAAGTTGATGATCATATTTCTAAGTAGAGGGGATATAGGGAATGCCGAATAAATCCAGCTGAGCTCTACAAACAAATACAATCATCAACTGTTAAACACTGACACGGTATCATTTCATCACATAAGCAGTATCATTTCATACAACCTATAGTATCATTTAATAGTTCAGGTACTGTCAATCAACACACAGAAAACAAATTCACCAGAATATAAAACACTAACATAATATCATTGTGAAAAATCAGTAAAAATACCTGGTCCAATAAAATTCAAATTCAGCTTCGGTGTCAGTGTACTTCAACAGAAAATTTAAAAGCTCTAAGAAACCCTTTTTATTTCTCAGACTTTTTATGTGCTTCTTCGAATTCTCCCCGATGTGCCATATACAAAGTCTATGATTTGAATTCGAAAATACTTGTGCGATTGCAGCAGCCATGGCAGCACACTGATCAGTCATTATTGTTTGAGGATGCTTACCACCCATTGATCGTACAAATACTTTGAACAACCAAACAAACGACTCTATCCTCTCATTGAGTAAAAACCCACAACCAAACATCACATTCATGCAATGATGATTCATGCCTACAAAAGGGGCACATATCATATCATACCTATTTGTACGGTATGTTGTATCATGTACAACTAAATCACCAAACAAGTCATAATCAGCCTTCCTTTGACCATCCCTCCAGAAAAAGTTACACAGCATTGCATCCTCATCAAGTTCAAATTCAAAATAGAAATCAGATTCATCCATTTGTCTCCTTCTAAATATCTCAATCAAACTATTAGAATCAGTGCCATCTAAATGCTTTGCCGAATCTGAAGATATCATGTTATACGCATCCCTAGGAGTAAATCCAACAAACGATGACCCTCCTGACTGACGTTTTAAGAAGCGAATACCATCCGATAAGGGGACCCCACTCCTCTTCATGTTTTTTAAACATGTCAGCTGATTCTCAGACACTTTCCTATGCGACCTAAGCATATAACTTGATGAAGTCGGACACAGGACATGTTTATGCTCCTTCACATGTTTAGTAATGACCCAATTCCCATTTGAATCTATATCAAATTGACACATTGCATTACATCCAGATCTAGTAACTATCTTTGAGTAACACCTATTAGGAATATCTGGTATTATTCTAAAACCAGACTTAGAACAACAAAACATTTTCGTCTTCAAAATCCAAGTACCAGTAACATAATATTGTTTGCCCTTTTTAGCACTAAATCCCATACGAAATGCATAATCATTGTATATACCAAATGCATCTTCTATTGATCCAACAGAAAGTCTCAACAATTCTTCATTATCTGTGATTTTATTAAAACATCCCTTTAATATTTCTACTGAAACTATAGATACTACATTGGTATTCTACTGACACTAGTGTGCATTAAAAATGAAACTGACTACCATGATTTTGAAAACACAACAAATTCAAAATCAGTTAAGAATCGAACTAAACATGTAACCTGGAATAGCTAACTCTTCAACAATAACATGGTCAGATGTACCATCAACAGCAATCGAATGGTCAACATCATCTGCAACAAAATAAAAATATAAATTGACACTTCAGGTCACTACAACAGAAACTATATTGTTCAATAAACGAAACTACAGCGATATCAACATGAAGCTGCGTAACATGATCCTGAATAATGTATAACTCAAATAAGAACATGAACAATAACATGAATACATTTAATACCTGGAATATACTCATTATCGTCGATAAAATTTGTACACGGAACATCAGATGCAATCGGCGAAATACATTCGCCAGCGATCGGAATATCATCTTTACCTGCAACAAAAAAAAAACCATAGCATATCTACCAATTACACTCAAACAATAAAAACATCACACAAGACTGCAATACATAATATAATGATATACACCTGTAATTACTGAACTGTTCTCATCAACGATCATTAAATTCGAATCAATCTCCTCAATCCTATTTGTAACTACTATTTCATTCATGTTTCCGAACATAGATAACAATACAATAATTCGACCGATACCAAACGATAGCAATTCGACAAATCGAAACAGGAACAGATCGAAGAATCTTAAGAAAAAGAAAAGAAAAAGGAAAGAACGACAAATCTAATAAAAGGAAAGAAATACGAATTCAAAATAGGGAAATAACGACGAATGATAGAAATTAGCCGTCCGGAAACAATTAACGGCGACGTCTGAAACGCGCCCTAATTAATGATAAACGACGTCGTTTCATACCCTCGGTGCATAATGGATTATGCACCGCGGTGCATAATATAATTTGCGCATTTTTAGTATTCAGTCCGTATATAGTCGGCAAATTATATCATGCACCGCGCATCAAAACGATGTCGTTTTATTTAATGAAAAGAAACGGAATCTGTTTCTTCCCGTTTCGCAAAAAATAACTCTATTCTTCAGTTTCATTTTGTATACACTGCAGTTTCAGTTCAACACAACTACAGTTTCATTTCGATATAACTACAGTTTCATTCAATATTTATACACTCAAATATGTGAAAATGTTATTTAATTTTATTTTATATATACACTATAGTTTCATTAAAATACAACTACATGATCATTTTGATATAATTACAGCTTCATTGTACAATATATACTCAAATATGTGAAATGTTATTCAGTTTCATTTTATATATATTGCAGTTTCATTTCACCACAACTACAGTATCATTTTGATATAACTGCAGTTTCATTTGATAATATAAAAATAATACGTGAGGCAGTGTCGATTTAGATACACTGTGGTGTCACTCCGTTAACACTAACAGCGCGTCATTTCTTTACTTAAAAAAACGATGCCGTTTTGATGCGCGGTGCATAATTGATTATGCACCGCGGTCCATGATATAACGACTAGTTATATGCAATATAGACTATAAAAATCAATTTGCTGGAAAAAAAATACACTGGTAATATATTACAAATATACAAAATTACAAATACAATACAATAATTTATTTTATTTATATATATATATATATATATATATATATATATATATATATATATATCTTTATATATATAAAGCAGAATCTTTGTTTCCCTCCAAAACTATGAATGGACATTGGAAAAATGGGCTGCAGCAATGGATAGATTTGGCCCAAAAATTAAAAAAAAAATGTAATTATATATTGGCCCAACATGTGTTATATTAAAACTTTTATTTTTATTATGTTATATTATTTAGTGTAAAAAAATTCCCCCCGCCCCCTAAGTGTGAATGCATATTAATAGATTTGTAAGATCATTATTTTTTTTTTGTAAACCGCGAGGTGGTCCGGGTCTTTCTTTGTCCGTTTAACTTTGTAAGGTCATTATTGCAAATCAGATTAGCAATATGAATGCATTTGTTATCTTAACATTTAAATATTACATTGTATAGCTATACTTACATTTTTTAATGAAACTAATTCAGCTTTGTATCATAACGTTACAACGATACTTATAAATTTTTGTTCGTGCATCGCACAGGGCATATTCATTTAAACCTCAATTATAATTAATTTGACTATTGATAAATTTGTTAAATCAATTGCTTACATTTTTAATCAAACTAATTTTGAGATCAAAAACTCAAGTACGTTTTTCTATTTCCAAAACCATTTCTTTGCTAATTCAGATGATGTCAAAAAATTAATTGATAAATTTGTTAAATTAATAATAGCTCGTGCATCGCACGGGACAATTACTAGTATATATATATATATATATATATATATATATATATATATATATACACTGTTGGAAAAATAGTTTAAAATGCCATGTTAAGTGGCTATTTTGTAGTACAATTATCAGTATGATTCACTTTCGAATTGAGTCGGGTCAAAGTGGATTCGGGTTCTTCGTAATGAGACAAAGAGATTGATATATTCTACGCTCAAAACAGATAATGGATGGATGAAATATTGATTCTCAAAGTAGACCCATTAAGTTGGAAAAATGAAGGGAAGATGATTTGCCCCACTATTGTTTTGGGAAGAGGATTTGCCCCACTATTTATACAAGAGCTCTTTTAAGGCTTATTGAATTGTATAGCATAGATGCTCTCTCTTTCGCACAGCACAAGGAGATGCAAATCAAATCTCAAAATGAGATTGAAAATGCTTGACTCAAGCCTAAGCATGTGTGCGTTCGTCCCCTATATAAGAGAGGGTAGAGCAGCAGAATTTTACAACAACTAAAATCATATTTTTCCAGCCTCAAAACTCTCTGCTTCTACTCCTTTCTTAGCCTACTGTGTTCAGAATCTTGCTCTAGTTCGCCGGGTTCACTCGTTTGGGTGCTCAAACGTTGAACCGTAGTACGTTTTATCTTGGGAAGTCTAGGCTACAACACTCCTAGCACTTGTGGGAGGTAGCAAATAGGATTTTAAGAAAATAATGATCGCTTAACTCGTACTAAAAACCCTACACCAAACACAAGCATATCTCTTCATCCTTTCCTTCTCCTTTTTCTACAGAAAAAAAAATCTTTATTTTGTAGGATTATTATTCGGTTTTACCAACGGTTATCCAACATATACTGGAAAAAGAGCCAGCAAACAAAAAAAATTATTATTAAATTAAATTTAAAGGTAAGAAATTAAGAAAATAAATTACCTGCCAGCGCCGAGCAGTGCGACGATGAAGAAGAAGAAGAAGATCGAAGACCTCGGGTGAGAATTTGAGGAGTGAGAGCGAATGAGAAATATTTTGATTAGGTTTAGATCTGAGGTCACTACAAGGTGCTTAACATTTATTTATTTATTTATGTATCTTTACATACTTTGTTTGTAACTAGTTTGTTCAAATATTTAGAAAGACATAAGATCAAGGATCTTTTTGACCGTGAAATTAACAAAAGTATTTTTTTTATTAAAAGAATATAATAAATGTACATATTAAGATACAAGACTCCTGGACAGCTAGCAAAAAAATCACTGAATATCAGTATTAAAAATGAAATGCAGAAGATCTGGTATTGACCCTAATTTGGTCCTAGTATGCAAAGATTTTCTTAGAAAAGATTGGGAGGTTAGTTTCAAGTTCAACCACATCTACTGGGAGCAAAGTAAAGTGCTTGATGCTCTTGCAAGATATGTGCTTCGTAATGAGCAAGGTTTAAAGGAGTTCATAAGTCCCCCAAGAATGATTGAGTTGGTTTGAAGAAATCAAGTTGGTCAGGTAGATCATCGTGCGGTAATGAGTATCGACAACTGAATTTACCTTTTTGGTGGTCCCCTCTCTTATGATAAAAAAAAAAATGCAATGCAGAAGAAAGGAAACAATTACCTTCCGTTTGGTTCGCTGAAAAATATTTGAAGTAAAATGGAATTGAAATTTCATGAAAAATAAATTTCAAGAAAATAGATTTTACAGCACGTTTGGTTCACGAAATGAATTTTGAGGTAATAGGAATGATATTCCATAAGGAATGGAATAGGAATTGTATTCTATTGTTTGGGGTTCGCGGAAGGAATAGGCTTTAGGAATTATATTACAGTGTTTGGTTGATTTAAGGAATATAAATGAAATATGTTTTAAAAGACATAAATACCCTTATAAAAATATGTGATGGTGGCGATGGTGGTGGCGGTGGCGATGGTGGTGGTGGCGGCGGTGGTGGTGGTGGTGCTGGGGTGGTAGTGGTGGTGGTGGCGGGGGCGACGGTGGTGGTGGTGACGGTGACGGTTGTGGCAGTGGTGGTGGGGGCGGCGACGGTTGTGGCGGTGGTGGTGGTGGTGGTGCTACTGCTGGGTGGTGGTTCTGGTGGCGGTGGTGGTGGCGGCGGCGATGGTGGTGGCGGTGGTGGTGCTGGGTGGTAGTGGTGGTGCTGGGTGGCAGTGGTGGGGGCGACGGCGGTGATGGTGGTGGTGGCGACGACGGTGGTGAAATAGGATAAATTTATATATAGGATAAAAAATTAGGTTATAGAAAGGGGTAAAAAAAGAAAATAGATTCTAAAATCTATTCCTGAACGTTCAGTAATAAGCTAATACCAGGGGGCCCTAGTAATAGCTATTACCTTATTTGAGTAATAGGCTATTATACCAGGAATATTATTCCTGGTAATAGAAATGGTTACCAAACAAAGGAATAGGCCTATTACTGGGAATGCTATGTCATTCCCGGCCTATTCCGTGAACCAAACGAGCCTTATTGTTTGGTTGGTGGAAAAAAATTATTAGGGATATGAATTTCATTGTTTGGTTAGGTTTATAATGGTAAGGAATAATGAATATAAAGACAATTATATCCCTACACAGTAATTAAGAAAAGCTGGCAAGGACATAATTGTCCTACTTGTTTTCTATGGAAAACAAAATACCAAAGTGGGGCCGTGAAAATGTTTTTTGTGAACCAAACAAAGGAAAACCTCAAATTCAAAGAAAACATTTTCTTACTAAAACACAAAAAATGAATATCACCCCCACTAGTGATCAAACACATAACTTCCTATTTAAGAGAACTACTTCATACCACTAAACCACAAGGTCATTAGCATGCCCATACCCAATTTAGTTAGCCGAATTATGTCTGGAGTCCCATTATTCTGTAGTGGGAATGGATGATTAATTTTCACCCAACTGCTTGGTTTCAATTCTATGTACTTGGGAATTATAAGGGTTTGTGAATACCAGTGCTATTCAGAACCTTAGAGTTGAAGGGAGAAATTTAGCCAGTGCCTGATCAATAAGTTGAATTGAGTTTACATAAACTGATAAACATCAGATATGGAAATTTAGAATGCAGTGTTGTTTCATTTTTGGATAGTGAGGTTTCTTCATTCAACATTGCTACTCATAGCCTTAAACAGGGCTAGAAAAGAGTCCACCAACGCTATGGTTGGACACATAATAAAACAGTATTACAAACAAAGATCACCAAGCCGAATGAACAACAGAATTGGTAAACAAAGTTTAAACTCCAAAACCACAAAATATGACTTAAAACATGGCAAATGCACTTCAAGAATCCACCAACGGTACGGTTGCACATATTATTAGACACAAATCAACGGATATAAAACAAGCAGAAGCAGCTACAGCTTTCCCTTCAAAGCTTTGCAACCAAGCCAGGATGGCATGGCTTTGTAATCACTCCATTTTCCTTGGGATCTGGATCCGCGGAGCTTGGGGGCACATCTACTGCTGGTGAGCAATTAAAGAATCCATGCGGCTGCAACGAAAAACAATTAGGGTTAAATTCCCAATGCACACACATTGTGCTTCCTTGTAAGCTACATAGTACAGTATTTTATACAAAGGAATCATCAAGTTCAAGTGTTGAATACCATGAGCATGAAACCAATGCGCTCCACAGGCATTACCGGCCAGTCTTCCAGCCGAGGAACATGAGTCACTCCAAAAACATACCTGTAGATTTTTGACAGTCAAGTCAGATACCATATCACATTCATATAATTGTGAAATTGAAAAACCACATTTAATACTTTATAATTGCACTCATTGAATATTCTTCTATGTATTTCTCTGTCTTATCTTTGTATAGGCAGGCTATATAAGCCAAGAAAATATGCACATTGTGCAGCACCAAGCTATAAACATGCATGATGGTCATAGTAGTTTGGAAATTTAAAAAATAAATAAATAAAAAGAAAGACGAAACACTTGTGACTTATCCTCCACCAATATAGAAATTAACTTTGAATTTTATCATGTACAGAGAACACTAACCAAAGAACAATGTCGGTTTCTTCCAGAGGTCGATTCTGTTTAACCCAAGAAGCCAATCCCTCTCCAACACGTGGATTCTGATTAGGAAACTCTCCTCCAGGAAACATCTCATTACGTGCATACGGTGTAACCCATAGATTGTGTTTCAGGAAAGCAGCTCTTCTCAGAAATTTTGCCTCTGTACCAGCTAATGGTAAACAGTTCGAGCCAGGTACAAGCTTGTAGCCTGTTAACTGTCCAGTGCGATTGACTGTTCTTGTGTTCTTGATCTAATTGTTGACATAACATATAATCCAATGTTATTGAAGTACTTCTATACTACAAGAATTCTCGTTAATTTTGTAAAAGGATGCAACATTTGAACCAAACAGCAGTATAAGATGTCAAAAACCACATTTAAATTTCAAGTTAAAAGGATAACCACACTCACAGAGACAAAGCTCAATAGGATTGACAAAATAGATCCTTGTCAGTATTTACATGTGAACAGACTTAATAATGTATTGGAATTTACAAAATACAGGTTTACTTTGTGGGATTAATATGTAACTCAAAAGAGTGGGAACACCCAACCACTACACATTAGCAAAGGACAGAAACTATATCATGAATCATTAATATGTGCTACTTTAAGAAGTAATATGAGTTTCAAAAGCTTGAACTCTTTTAAATTACCAGATCAAACAGGGGAATAGCTACACTAAAGAGAAAGAAGTCTTACAATCCAGTGCCGAGCAGATAAAGGATTACAGTCACGCATGGCTTCCAATTCAGTTTTGAGCAATCTCTCTTCTGCGTAAAATGCATTGTTATGGACATTATTCTCTCCAGGCTCTTCAACTTTAACATTTGCCTCAACCACCTACAGAGTACAGAGGAACAAGAATTGCATTAAGCATATAATAATATTAAGAGTTATAGAAGTCGGGACTGAATCTGATGTGACTACCAAATCAACAATCAATAAAGAGTGCATAGACTCTGGTCTGTTTCTTTCCAGACAACGAAGATCACGATTGATATATAGACAAAAGAAAACGTGAATCAGTAGTGACATACATAATCCACAGTAGTCAGATTTTCAAATATATTATAATACAATTAAGCACACAAGTCACAAAAGCTTAATTTCAAAGAATTGATCACTCAAGGAAAAAAAAAAACTATTTTACTAGCTCAATCATCCATATGCTTGGGGACTAAACAATAGATTAGCTGATGAAGAATAAACAAACCTGGTTATGTGCTTCTCCAGGCTTGCAATCAACGGCCATGTCCATACGAGCCACAAAGAAGTGTTGATGAACAGGTGCATATAGACCAGGAGCAATAGTGGTCCCATATTTTCTTACTTCCCCTGGCTGCAAAGCTCCAAGACTGAGAATCCCTGTAAGCTTAACCTCAGCTTCAATTTTCCCATCCTGTGGTGGAAATGGTAAATAGTCTTTGTAAAATGAAGAACTCAAATCTCAGAGGCAATAACAGAAACATTTATTTTTCTATTGAACAATAACTAAATAACTTGCCTGATAAAAATGCCAGAAGAAGCCATATTCATAGTTAGCCACAGTACATATGAAAGATACTGTCAGCCGTCGCGAACGCCTTACTTCAGCTAAGCCCGTTCTCCAGTCTTGATGCTTCCACAAGATTCCATGATCCTCTTCATGCATGCAAACACAGTTTTCAATTGTTTCGACACCTCCAGCAAAATTTGTGAAGTGTGCATCAAAGTACTTGATGTAGCCTAAGCAATCACAACCCTACAACCAAAGTAGAACTTTTAAATTGTAACTAACATCAATTTATGTTCAAAGCTAAGTAGAGATGCATGAGAACATAATCTATGAATGTCAATAGAATGCACTTCAACCTTCTTTAGCGAGTGAGCATTTTTACCAAGGCCATCTTCCCCTGCATCAAATGCATTTTTCCTGTAGTGAGGATCGTTTGGATCCCCATAAGGAACTACCATCTCAACAAAGCTTAACCTGTGAGCCACAGGCCGACGGCCTCTACTACCATCAACATATGCAACTGAGTAGATAACTAAACCTTCTCTGGGGGTGAAGCCAATGCGAAAATTCCACTGCAAAACAGATTTCAATTAAACAGATATTAATTTGCCCAGTGTGGAGAAATAATCAGAGGTTAAGCTGCCAAACTAATCAAGTACCTTCTGCCACTGAACAAAGTGTCCATCGACACGGAAGCTAGGACCTTCTGGTTGAATAATATGTAGAGGTTTTACATCACTGCGATCAACCCCTCCTCTGGTTTCCCCAGGAGTATAATTTCTCAATGGATCAGCAGGGGGTAGGGGAACCAACTTACGATCTTCAAACTCTATAACAACCATATTTTGCATATCAACCAGTATGTAAAGTCCTTCAACTGGACGAGCATAACCATTTTCCATTGGACAATCACTCTCGGTTCTACAGAAAATAAGTGGTTTTGCAAGTCTGCGACTAGGTGCATCAGCTTCACTGTAATAACCAACACACCTGAAGAAAAAGGTGAATTAGTAGGCATATATGACAGACTCACAAATGTTTGGGTAAACAAAATGCCAAAACCTACCAGGCATCCACCATCACAAGATCCATATCCACAATACCCCTCTTTTTCATTGCCTCCCGAAAAGGAGGGAAATCCTTCACAACAGCTTCACATTCAGCATATTCAGCAGCATCCTGAAACACACTCCAACAAAGAGATATACAAAAGCATATTAATGAAATCCTCTAGCTTTTATATGCATGAGAATTTATATTTTCTATTTATTAAGTTATTTTCAGTTGGAATACGGAAAGCCTATAATTGGGTATATTGTGAAGCAGACATCAAAGAGACTTCCACTACACACAACACATGCACAATTGCATTCACAAAGGAATATAAATCATTTTTATGAGTAAACCTTTACAGCATATATGCAGCACTCAATCTAGTGAGTTATGTACTCCAATATTTCTAAAACCAGCAGATACATCTAGCTAATGAACAATGTGACAAAATTAGTCTGTATATTTAACCGTAAAATGAGTCACATACCATTGAAGGCTGTACATCAGGCACAACCTTTGACGAAATGACTTTACCCCTATGGTGGCCACCCCGAGTTACAGCATGCACCTCAGAGAGTTCAACAATCCAGAAGCTGGTCTCATTTGACTTCTTATTATAAACTACAAGTCTTGCCTGCCTTGGAGGAAGCTTACTGGGAATTACAGGACCCTTTTTAGTCCTGGGTAGTAATGATGGCTGAAATGGAGGAAAGAAGTAGGCATCTGCTAATGCAACCACATTCTTATCAGGTTCCACCAATGAAACTTCAGCAAACCGCATGCTATCTCTCACCTAAACATTCCAATCACAGTTAAAAGATATTTACACAACTAGACTTAATGAGCAAAATCAATAATGTTGTTCAAAAAACAACCTCAGGAGTTGCCCCAGCTGCCCTGACAGTTGCCACAGCCACTGAGATCTCAGCGGCAGTTAAAGGATCTAATGGATGGCGGCTTTGAGCCCTCATAGTGTTTGGTAGTACTGAAACTAGCAAAACAACAAAAAGTATCTTAGAGCAGAGATCATTACAACTTCCCACCCAAAACTCTGCATAAAAAAGAGTGATGACACTTGCCCTAAACGAATCAACTCCGTTACTTCCATTTTGATGATAAGGAATAAGAAAATTCGTATTAAAAGAAATATAAAACACAAGAACTAAAATATTATAAGAACAAAACAAATAAACAGACCAGAAGTTCTCTCCAATATCAAAATACAATAAATTGAAAACAATACTTTCCAATTGGTGAGGAATAGAGAAATGGAAAACGAGCTAGAGAGATTTCACTTACTGAGAAGTACAGATCACACAAATGTTGAATATTTTTCATTTTTTAACAATAAAATTACGGGCAAAAATGTTCCAAAATCAACAATTTCATAGTAACACCAAGGAAAATCACTACTCCGTATTATTTCTTCAAAAAGTATCAGTATGATCTTAACACGCTCAGTAACGCGCGCGTGTGTGCACAGAAAGAGAAGTCATCCAATGCATGCATCTAAATCACCAAGTACAGCTAGAGAAACAGTATACAGAACGTGAAAATGGATGTATACCTTTAGCAGAAGAAGCAGGAGGTTGTTCAATGGAGTCGATCACGGCCGCCAGGGGAGAAGCGGCGGCGACAGCTTCCCGCTGGCCGATCTGGCGTTCGACGGAGGAGGTCCATTCCTGCAAAACATCGCCGTCGGCAGCGGCGACGACGGAGTCATTTCTAGATTGGAGCGTCGCTTTTTCCGGAGTTGAGGCCATTGCAATGGATTTGCGAGCTCACTGTAACCGCCGTAATACTGATCGCCGTAGAAATAGCAACAGCTCTCCTCTGACATACAGCGAAGAATAGTGTGCTCCACTACCACTTTCACAGGAGGATCACTCCCTTCCGCGCCTCCCAAGTCTCTATCTCTCTCTGTTGTATTCAAGCAAAGGTGGAAGAAAAAATTGAGATCAAATGGAGATGAACAGAGGGAAATGCCCTGCCCTGACCTGCTAAAAGTGAAGTGATCCGTACTTCTGGGTTTTTGGAGGATGTGTAATGTGTATGTATAGGCGAGAAGAGCATATGCACCCTCAATTTATTACCATATATTTTATTTACAAATTTGTACTTTTCTTCCTAAAACATTCTCGCTGAGTAAATTCAGTCGTAATTTTTTGTTTATTGCAAATGTGAACTTATTTACCATTAAAAAAAAAAAATACTCCGTAAATTATGATTACAGTCCCTATACATGTTACTCCGTAAATTTGAATGGAAACTAATAAATATCTAAGAAACTAACAATACACTTTTCCAAATATTCATAACGCCTGCAGATTCATAATATCTATACTGTAGATTCATAATTTCTGTACTGTAGATTTATAATTTTTAAATTATATAATTATCAAATTATAAACATATAGTTCTGTGATTTATAAAAACAGAGTTTAACAATTGTGAATATGAACATCAAAAATTATGACCATATAATTTTATAATTATGACCATATATTTATAAAATTATGAGTATATCATAGAAATTATGAATATGGAACCGTGCATAGGCACATTTCCACAGCATAATTTGCCGATATATAGTGAGTCTTGATATAAACCAACCCAACAATCAATTCATAATAATTAATAATATAATAAAGAAATTTTGAGGTTATTTTCAACTAGTATTTGCGCCCGTGCGTTGCACGGAATGAATTTGTTATAAAATTTTAAAAATATTTATATCGATATACAATTGTATAAATTATAAAATTGAATATTATATAATATAATTGAAAAATTGAGTTGCACCGATTATGTTTTCTGATGTTATCAATGCTTGAATTCGAATAAATAATTGCCCAATTAATAGCTAACGTGTAGATATACGCATTCGGTGTTGCAACTTTAGAGATTTTATATATCAGTGTTTATAATTTGTATTAGGGAAAATGGCACTTTTTACCCCTGAGTTATATACTTATAGCACTTTTTCCCCCTCAATTATTTAGGTAAGCACATTAGCCCCCTCAATTATTCTAAAAGTGGTGTTTTTTCCCCCTGATATATTAAATTGACATTTATACCCTTAAAGTAAACATTTTATTTATTTTACTACTCCAACAAATTATTGCGTATACGTAGGGATGACCACAGTTCGATTTGAATTGAACCGGATACTAAAGCAATCGAATTAATAGTTTACGGTTATAATTCAGATCTAGAACCCAATATTTAAATGTCAATTTATTAAAATTATGTATCAAAAAAATTGAATCTTGAACCGTGAACCGGCGATTCCGGATCTGATTCGCGGTTTTGAACTGTCTTTATTTTAAAATTTTATTTTTTATTTTAAAATAATCTAAATTCAACAATAAATGTATTTTATTTTTTCAGTTCAGAACATGAACCGTCCGTTTCGGTTCACGATTTTAATAAACTCTAAATATCGGATTTCGATTCTAAATTGTAATTGGAATATTTCGGTTTGGTTGCTATAGTGTTTGTTTAGTTTGAACCAAATTATGGTCATAATTTGTTGGAGAACAAAATAAATTAAATATTTAGTTTAAGGGTAAATATGTCCATTTAACATTTCAGGGGGAAAAACAGCCACTTCAATAATTTAGGCGGAAAAAATGCTATAGGTATATAACTCAGGGGGAAAAAGTGTCATTTTCCCTTTGTATTAATTGGGCTAATTAGCTCGTTGTCTAGGAACTCAGTTATATAAATTATTTATACGGAATATATATTTTCTATGTAGATCAGCTATATAGCAATTTTGTCATTTTTGTATATAAAAAAAAAACATAATATCAATGGCTTAAATTATACATTATTGAAAATCTCTTTATAGCTAGACGACATTGGTAGTAGTAACGGAATTTTATCTATCATCGTCTAAAGTTAAAACTATCAGACTATCAGAATGGGTGACTCGGAAAAAAGTAACATACAATTAACCGTGATTAAAGACTGATTTTTTTCAGTAATAACTCAAATATTATATAATGCAATTAAAGATATGGTTTCGGCCGTGAATTTGTTGTAATTTGTTGTAATATATTACCTAATATAATTGTCCTACTAATTGATTCCATGCTACTATGTATAATTCATATATTTGAAGACTTGTTAAAGCTAAATACCTATTAATTGCTTTAATAATAATTAAGATAATTTTTAGTCAATCAATATTCAATAGTACTAAAAGTATTACTTTGAATTTTTATAAATAAGATATAATATTATTAAACCAAAATAATTAAAAATAATGTGTCCATAGTACAAAAGATTTTATAATAGTAATTTTTATTGCCTAATAGAATATGTCAATTAATTAAACATTATTTATGGAAGATTTTACTTTTATTAATAGTATAGATATAAAGTGGTGTAAATAATAATTAATAAATTATTATTTCGTTATAAAATTACACCGAAATTATAGTATAGATATAGATTGATGTAAATTATTATTTCCTTATAATATCACTGGCTTGAATTACACATTATTGAAAATCTCTTTGTAGACGATATTGATGGTAGTAACAGAATTTTGTCCATCCTCGTGTAGAGTTAAAACCTTCAGGCCATCAATTTGTATTTTTTTAAAATATAAGATTTACACATGTTATTAGGGGTTAAAAAAATATTTTAATTTTTTTATTAGTAAGTATTTTTATTTTTAAAATATTTTTCGACAACACAAACACTCCCTTAGTCTCCCATCAAAACTTGATAAAGAAAAGTCATTTCGTTAAGAAAATTAAAACTAATTAAAGTAAACTAATCATTCTATATTTATTTGTAACTGAATATTAATTTCATTTTGAAATCATTGGTTCACATATTTGAATTATTTATTTTTTCTTTAATTATTATAAACAGAAATGATATTATTAAAACTTTCAGGCCATCAGGATGGGTGACTCGGGAAAAAATCGCGCACAATTGATTGTGAGTAAAGAATGATTTTTTAAGTAATAATCCAACGTGAGTTAGTGTTTGACCCTGACTTTTGTTGACAGTCATGACATATGCGAGCATCAACGGGAATTGTTTATGCTAGAACTTGAAGGTCAATCTTGTATCAGAAGGGTTAAGAGATAATTTAATGGAAGATTTTACTTTTATTAATAGTATAGATATAGATTGGTGTAAATTATTATTTAATTTTATTAATAGTATAGATAGATTAATTTCATTTTGAAATCATTGCTTCACATATTTGAATTATTTATTTTTTCTTTAATTATTATAAACAGAAATGATATTGTACTAATTAATTTATGGTATTTATCAATTTGTATTTTTTTTTAAAATATAAGATTTACACATGTTATTAGGGGTTAAAAAAAATATTTGACAATTTTTTTTTATTAGTAAGTATTTTTATTTTTAAAATATTTTTCGGCAACACAAACACTCCCTTAGTCTCCAATCAAAAACTGATAAAGAAAATTCATTTCATTAAGAAAATTAAAACTAATTAAAGTAAACCTAATCATGCTATATTTATTTGTAACTGTATATTAATTTCATTTTGAAATCATTGGCTCACATATTTGAATTATTTATTTTTTTCTTTAATTATTATAAACCAAAATGATATTGTACTAATTAATTTATGACATTTATCCAATTGTAATTTTTAAAATATAGTGTTTTACTCGTTCGTTGCACAAAAAAAAATTGTTATTAAGAATTTAAAATTGATAATAGACAAAAATAAAAAGATGTTAAATTGTACAATATAATAATATAGTTGGACTTTTATATATTTGGTCAAGTATCTATTTTCATAACATACAGAATTTAAATTTTGTATGGTTAATATAATCTCTAATCATTACATATTTTGATACATTTATAGAAAAATTCACATAATTAAGTTGATTTATTCCTAATTCTATTTCATATATATTATAATTCTAAAAATATGAATAATAGCTAAAAAAAAATTATATATACTTAGAAATCAATAAAATAAATGTAAATTTTAAATTTTGTATGAGTAAATTTAAACTCTAATCAGACGCATTTCCTTATATGATTGTATAATACATTATATATACACATAATATTTATTAATATGTATATATGAAAATTATATAATATAATATCATTAATTATAATTTATATTGATAGATTTTATTGAGCGGTTAGCATTATTAGGATTGTTAGAATAATTCTATGTTAGTTTCCTATCATTTAGCTCTTCTTTGTGTATATAAAGCCTGTAACCTTATTCTCTAAAATACACTGAAATAAACACTATTATGTGCACTCATCGATTTATAATTAAAAATTACATTTAAAAATTAAAAAAAAAATAACATTTATATTTTGTATGACTATTTAGTATAGTGCGTAACTGTATGTATGTATTTATCTACAAAAAAAGTGTATGTATGTATATTTTGTAAAATTTATAAATATTCCATGCATTGTTAATTTTATAATTTTATTTTCTTAATTATATTTCATATTTTATTAATTATAATTTAATAAAATTACCACAAATATTTCCACGGAAGAAATATTATATTCATTATTGAAAAGGGGTTATAATTTAAAAAGTAAATTATTAATTAGATTATCTAATATAATTGTCCTACTAATTGATTTTATGGTATGTATAATTCATATATTTAAAGACTTTTTAAAACAAAATACCTATTAATTGCATTAATAATAATTAAGATTATTTTTAGTCAATCAATATTCAATAGTACTAAAAATATTACTTTGATTTTTTATAAATAAGATATAATATTATTAAACCGAAATAATTAAAAATAATGTGTCCATAGTACAAAAGATTTTATAATGGTAATTTTTATTGCCTAATAGAATTTGTCAATTATTAAATATTATTTATAGTAATTATGTTAATTTTACAACATCAAATAATATCTCAAAATCAATTTAGTACTTAAAACTGAAATTACTATACAACAATATTTTTCTTCAAAATAACAAATGATGTGTAGTGTTGTAATATTGACTACTATTATAAATAAATAAATAATTATAAACGTTTAT